TCGTTATTTTATCAATGTGACGTTTAAAATTGCCACTTTGAAAGCACTAAACTGCAACTGTTTCAAATGAAAATTTTAAACAAAGGCTTTAAGTGGTTATTGAAAAATATAACTAACGAAGTCTAGGCGACTAAATAAATTAACAATTTGCAGTTTTCGTAATTAAGAAAATCCACGATTAACGAAAGAAGAAATTCTTTATTATTAATCTTGAATAAATATTTTCCCAATTAACGCGGAGTGATATTTGTTTAATAGTTAGTATTAACCCCTTCGCCTACAACATCGTGCGAGACTCGTGGTAGGGAGATCGGGTCAAATACGAGTATCACAGGCGAGAGCCGTGAACCTAGGGACATAAAAGAAGACACTAGGGACATAAATATTACTATCAACTCTAATTAGAGTTATATTCCTAACTTTGGAGAAGCGAGCACTCCTATTTCATCTCTATCAGTGTGCTCAAATCATTTTTTCCCGCTTGAGGATCACATCGTGAAATTCAATATGTCTAAACCGAGGAAGAGGTAACGCTTTTGCAAAGAAACCTGCATTTCAACAGAAACGAATCGTGTTCTTGGAAACGAGCTTTGAATTACAACGCTGGTTATACGCGATGACCGTGATGATTAGGATTTTCTAACTGGTAAGAATTATTCGTGTAAACGAATATTAGGTACCCGTATCGCATTTGGGAAAGAGGATACACGGTAGTGACATGTGGGCGCGTTTCCATCGTTGACAAAAGCGACGCGAATCGCCCTTGGATATTACAATTTATTATTTCCTTTCCGTACCAAAAATAGCAGCTAAATAGCAAGCGTAAATCACAGATTAGCAATTAAATTTCTCATCTTTTGAAACAGAATATAACTTTCACTGCTAAATAACCGAAATCAAATTTCACGCCCCGCGTCAAATTATCAATCAGTTTAAATAGCGAAATCTAATTTAGATTGCATCGTTAAGTAACGGAAATTAAATTTCGAATTTAAATCAGGCAATAAATTTTGCGACCAGGCAAACTTTATCGAATCGATTTTTACCGTTAGAAAGCAAAAGTTAACCTCAAAAGTGGTCAAAGATAAGCGTGAAATTTCCGGTTATTTACCGAGCTTTAATTCATTCGCGAAAACAGAATTTGAACTTCACGCTTGAGAATTCTGCTAAATCATTAGAATTAATAGAATAAATTAACGCTGGAAGTCTCAATGAAACTATTTCGAAACGCCAGGGACTTCGATTGAAGCGCCACCACGTACTAGAATTCGCTTCGGTTAAACGGATTGCGGTTAGAACGAACATTTAAATCTGATTCGATCGCTACACGTTATTGCCACATCCTGAACAATTTTATGCAACGCGATGCACACCGGCATCATTTACACGCCATCAAAGCTAACGTAAATTACAGTTTTATTGCTTCCGTTGCAAAAATCAACCTGCATACGTGTCCTGACTAATTAATTAGCCCCTTTTAGAATTTCTAAAAACCGAGGCCCGATTCCGATGGACTCTTTACGTATTCGAAGAACGGTTACGTGTCTGGTTTTCTACAATATGCCTCCGTGGTTACGAAACCGTTTTTATTTAATGAAAAGAAAAGATACGACGGAGGGAAAATAAAATGGGGAATCGGACTTAATCGCACTTTCGACTTCGTGCTCGCGATACGGGCCGAAGGCGTGCGTTAACTCGCATTTTCGAAACGAAAAACCCAGCTATTCCAACGGATAACGCTTTGGCGAACTCGCTGGTGTTCGTGAACGAAAACAACGGGCGAGTTTCTAGCACGTTTAATCCGTTGAAAACGAAGCGTACAATTATGGAGAAGGAACGAAAAGAAATTTGGGACGTGGAAGTGGAACTCCAATGGAAGAAAAGTGGCACGAAATTGGAGCTATTCGAAATCTTTTCCTTCGCTCTGTAAGTAGCACTGTTGGGTCGTAGGTGGATCAGGTTAGGTTAGGTTAGGTTACCTAATTGCAGAGTACTTCGATTTAATTTTTACGCTGTATTTTAGGCGTAAGAAACGTGGACGGTATTTATCGTATCGACTCAATGACCCCATTTTGAAGTAGGTACATAACCTGTCATTTTACTTCTCATATTTGCATTCAGTGACATTCTTAACGACGAAGGAAATATATTGGAAATAAATATTTTGGAATGTGATTTTAATCCAATATTATATTGGCTCGATATTTAACTCTATGACTATACTTTTATCTGGAATTTTAAGTAGCTACCATGCTACTTAAACTACACACACTTTCAGCCACTTTCTTTGAGTAATCAAAAATTCTATTAGTGTTACAAGCAATAGGGTAATATTGAAATCTAATCGGGTATAATATTCTAACGCAGCAAATAATTATCGAAAATCTTCCTAACGAAATGTTCGATAAAGATAATTAAGAAAAATATGAAACCCAGTACCCTCTCTCTTAGGATACATTTTACTATCCCTCAGATACCATCAACCACGCGAGTTGAAAATTCAATGGCGTCACATACGAAATAGAAATTGAAATAAAGTGCTTTTAAATTAAGTATCCTAACTTAAATCTAACCTAAACGGTTATGGTCGCCTGTGAACTATGCATTCAAGTTGAGAATTAATTATCCTACTTTGATTTCACGGTCAAAGTCTGGACACAAAGTGATCAAATAATTCGAGTATTTTCATTTTAAATTATAGTACTCCCGATTCTCCTAAATTTTTAATTATTCGATAAAATACATCGAACTTGGAATTCGAAAATTCATCACAAATCGTTTATACAGTTTGTATGAAAACTATATGTATATACATAAACTGAAAAAGGAATATTATTTTCTAAAAATCGACATAAATTATGATGTAATACCTTGCATAAAGATATTTAAATCTTTGAATCTTTTGAATTACCTTGCATCAGACTTCCGCAATTATTCTTTTTCCAAAATTGTTTAAAATTTTGTTTCCTTATTATATGAGAATGGTATATAGTATATATTCTCCATTTCGAAATATTTCTATCTCTATGTTTACGCGTACAGAAACGGGATAGCTTTCCAACACCGTTAAACGACTCGACTTTCGACTATTTTTCGAAAACGGTACCTCACTGTTACAACACGAAAGAAATGACAAATATAATATAGCCATTTCGGACTTCCTACTCGAGCCACTTTCGTAATCACGAATACGAGAATAGCGAACGCTCTCGTTACAAATTAGAATTACGATCATACCGTGTGTCTGTTTTCACCGTTAACGACGTTTAACGATTAACAAGACGATCGGGACAAACGCGATTCAGTCATTACTCGCTCGTGATTCCAATAAAATTCATAAGTGAACGGTCGTTCAATGTTTATGTAAATGACCAGCTTTACGTAATACCGGATTATTATTCCTTTTTGCCCCTCTAATTATTCCTTCGGTGAGTCGGAAGTCGTTTCCCTGATGCAGCATGATCCTTAGCCGGCTAATCGATTGGACGCGTTTCACGCGAATAATCACTTGGCAATGACTGTTTACAGCCACGGAAAAGAAAACCGAGTACTGCTAATTGAAAACAAGCGAACTGAAGTTAAAGAAACGTAAACTCACCGGGCAATAATAATGAACCAGAGTGTTAAACTACAAACGAGATCTCTAAGTAATTTGTCCAACCCTCTGCTATAACCACAAAATAATCAAATAAATTATGTTCGTTATTACATTTCATTACAACCGGAAACAAAGAGGACAAATAACGATCTTTAAATACATATTTTTATATTAATCAGAGATTCGAGCACTGGTAGTTCCTATAAAAAAACAATAGTTGAATTCAGTGTAATAGTATGTTAACAAAATATTATAGTACAGAATAAATATATAGGTTTTAAGTCACATGGTGCTATAGAGAGAAATAATGATTAACATATAGCCATTAGCATTAGAACTACCAACCTGTAATATGTTTCAAAATATTGTATACATACATGTATAATAATTAATAGTCACGACGAAAATAATTATTTATGTATGTATACATAATTACGTTTCTGTTTCAATAAAAGTTGCAATTAATTTCGTCGAAAACAGTCGCAGTAAGTGGACGAACAACGGGTCTAAAAGCAGCCATTTTGATTAGTTTGGTAGTTCTAGCGATAATCTGAACGCTCTTTTTCCCTGACGCTTCGCTGTAATTTAACTTATCTCGTTATCCACGTTTTAAGCGCACACCATTACCACGGTTTGATACATAATCCCCACCATAAACTAGAGATTTACGAGCGCGGTGTTAGAAAGAAATTGATCAAATTGCGCCTCGTTTGTAAATCTTCCCGACTATAGAGTTACCTGTTACATATCATATTTTTGCCACGTTACGGTGTACTATTGCTACTTTCAGACGTTTCTGATGATCTTTCATCTGTTGTATTCAAAACTGAGGAAAAAGAAATGTTAAACTCGAAAAAGAGATATAAAAATCGAACGATGTAAAGGGGTATTAAATTTGGGTACATTTACATTTAATATTCCATCTTCGTGTAATCTATAGAAAATGATTCAAACCAGCGACCTACGTATGAAAAATACATTAAATTTCGACAATCTAACAATAACGTGTTCAGTTGTATTGAATCAAACATTCTAAGGATTACGAACAAGCTAACTCTAAGAAAACGTAGTCGAATACGTTTCGAGGGTTTATCGGACTATACGAGGTCTATCATAATAAGAAAGGACCAAGATATGTGACGACACGACACGAGTCAATGAAAACAATTCCTACAGGTAACTTTACGCATGATTGGTTACAGCGTAAATTTCATTCTAGGAATTAGAAGCACGAGCAACGTTTATAAACATCTCCGAGCGAGAGACCGATTCTAAGAACGAGTATAACGAACAAATGCAGAAGTAAACACGAATAACCCTGAACGTTAACGACAAAGTCCATAGGCACGGTAAGGGTCCATAGAATTAAATACACGTGTTAAATTAATTGGTTAAAACTTACGTCATTTATGGTCGGTAGGATTGGAGCTGCGTCGATCGAATGCACGATCTTTCAGAGTCCTCATGTTTCCATCGTCGCGGCTGTCGAGATCCTCGGTGTCATCACGACGAAAGGACGAAGCGTTTTCACCGGTCAACCCACGTATCGACGACGAAAAATCAAATTTGCTATTACACGGATCGAGGTTTAACCCTTGTCTCGATCTTCCCTCCGTTCCCGGCGAATCAAAAGACCTTATTTCCGGCGTGACTCCGGTGCGCACCAATTTCCTGATCACTGCACATCGACACACTGCCGGCTACTTCGACGCTTTCCTCTCTATTAATATTTTTACGTTCGCGAATTACAATGGGCAAAAGAGACGAGATTCAGAGAAAAATTGCGAATGCGCGAAGACACGTTTCTTCGTCTGGCCCAATACGAAAAAACTTGTCTTCCCGGTTACGCAAACGCAGGACACGGGCCAAAAATAAAATGTCGCGCGCTGAAAACCGGAGAAAACAACGTTTCACGTGTGTCGCGCGCGGAGATTCGCAGCTGACTGCGCTCCTATGGCTCGTCATGCCCCCTCGATAGCAGGTAGCTGCCACTGCCGATTTAACAAGCCGTACGAGGACTCGTCGGTAAACAAAACACGAACAGTCGAAATGGAAGAGGTTAACAAGGTGAAAAGCGGTCGAGGCTTCGGTTTCGTCCTGAACTTTCCGATTAATTATGACGTTGTCGAGGTGTGCACGTAGTGGACGATTTCGGTACTATTCGATCGCAGCTAACATGAAGGCGCTTTCGAAAGGTTAAGTTCGGTGCAGCGAGAAAGCAACATTTGATTTACTTTTAACGCTATCTATCAGTGCGAGTTTTGAAAAATTAGGGATAAAACTATGAACCGTATATGCAAGAAGAGGTGTCGTACGAAGTTTTTAAAGAATCGTTAAAAATTAAGGATATAGAAGAGCACTTGAAATAGAGAATGAGCGATATTATATGAGAGACATATGGAAGTCTTGTTTCTCTCAATTTATCTTCCTTCCGCATAGAATCTAATATACTTTAAAACAAATTTAAAAATAATACATAGTTTTCTGTCCGATTTTCATTCTATCGCTTCGGTATAGAATAAAATATTGAAAAGTTCTAAACAAAGTATTGCTTTAGAACGTAATCTAATTTAATATGTTTACGAAAGAATAAATTAATTCTGTACTGACAGAATTGATATCCTTGATATAAATATTAATAACGTTAGTTACAGTAAATAAAAACAACCGAAATAATTGTCTATCCTTCCCACGACACAGTATGGCAATTAAATCCTTTGCATTACTTGAATCATTAATCTATCATCATGCTATTGCGATTATCCCATCATAATCCATAAAAAGCTACAAATGATTTCATTAGAATCAAACATGTATAAATTTACTCTAGCAATAAATCAAAATGATCAAAACCTGTCTCATTCTATTGCTAATGTGAATAATGTTTGGCAACAGCTGCGAAACAGACACTTCCTGACACTAACGTAACCCGCGGATCCTATAAGGTCGCGAACGCGTTCACCTTTCAAGTTTTTTATTAACCGTTTTCACCGACAGGTATCCTCGAACGGAGAACACGAAATCGATTTCCATAGACGAGAACAGAAAGACGCGCCGCGCCGCCCAGCTGTCTGCCTCTCTATCTATCTACCTATCCGTGTGACACACACATACACACGCGCGATATACACGTCGTTAAAATAAACGTTTATGTCAACAACCTAGGCGACAAAATCGAAAAGTATAAATTGGCAAAACACTCGATACTTTTCTCCAGTTTTTCAGCGTTCTCCACGGAAAGCAGGCACACGCCTGGTATCTGGCACAAGTGCACCGTACCCCGTGCACGTACGGAAGACGTGCACTTTCGCTGTCGATTCGATACCAACGATATTCTCTCTCTCTCTCTCTCTCCCGATCTCTGCGCAAGGTATCCTTACGCGATATACGAGTATCCTGCGGCCCAGTGAACGCGTAATTCCCTATCCCTCTTGGACTCTTCCTTCTTTCCCGTGGAACGAAATATTCAGGGATAGATAAGACGAAGGGGGCAGTGAACGAGAAGCTTCAGGGGATTAGTAGAGACGCGTGTCACGCGTTTCCTTCTCCTCTGGTGCGGGACGTTTTCGCGATATTCAAATTCACGGGCATCTCTTTCCGTCAACGACACCGTTTTCGTTAATTCGCCCCGTTAAGATGCGGACAGCGGATAACGGATAACGGTCGCGTCATACGGTGGTCGAAAGTCGCCAAAACCAGGATCCCGCTTCTCGAGAGGCCGTATAGGACTAACGACGAAACGGAGAGGAAAGGTCGACGAGAGAGCACACACCGCGGATTGAAAATTAATGCGAATGCGCGAGCGGACTCGGTCTAACTGCGGTAGACGATACTCGTCGACGTCGGTAGCAAAAGTAGAAGGTGGGGAAACGACCCAGGGACTGGGGACTACTCGCCACTGCTGGCGATTGTGATTGTTAGCGCACGGTTGTTCGGTGCGTGCACACCGTCGAGACCAGAAGAGAAGGTTGCTCTCCTCGCCTCGGATCGGTACGCTACTGGCCGACCTGACTCGTTTCAAAATCGGGAAAGTCGTCGAGATCCAAGAGGGGCTGTCCTTCTCGCGCTGTACCCCCTTTCGACGCTATCGATATCGGTGGAGACCGGTGGACTCTAACGATCATGCTCGATCGCCGTTTCCTGCGGCGTCGATTACGCTTGACGTCTCCTTCGTCTCAAGCAGCTTGTGCGCCGATCCTCTCCTTAACTGGCCATTCGTTAGACGAATTCTTTTTGCGGCCACTGGCTAATTTTCTACAATCGATCGGATCTGTTGGGATTAATTACGATAAAGAGGGAGAGAAAGAAGGAGAAGAAACTGTACATATGTACGGAGAAAGTATTCGAGTACCTAAGATGGTCGAGGATAGTGGACGTTTATACTCGCCTCGAGTTACTCCAGCGTGATTTACGGTTCATGATCGAAGATGTTTTTTCGCATTTCCATCAACAACGTTTGACGCTTTTAATATTCATCGTGTTACGCACATTTACAAACCGTTTGGTACACCAATCAGGGGAAGGAGATTCATCGACAAATTTTCTTTTTTGTTACTCCACTCCAAATAGTACGTCGTTGCGTGCAGAAGTTTCTAGATAGTTAACTTCGATTGCCAAATTAAAAGGAGAAAAGTTAGACTTTTGAAATCTTAATATATTCCTGAGATACGTGGAATTTCATTACGATTATGAAAATAATTCGGTGGGATACTGAAATGAAATAAATGTTAGTATTTGACAATAGAGGTACGAGAAATTATTAAATATCGAAACATTAGTGGTAACGAATAATCGATACCAATGTTTTCAATATATCAAGATTATTAAGAATTTGATACTTTAACAATTTCTGTAATAATTCCTTTGATACTTTCCAATCTTTACTTCAGGGCATTAGTCATCTTGAAAAGATCGTATTCCATGAACATTCGTATTTCAAAAGCAAGCCTGAAGGATATGTCTGTTTTCAAATTTTTGTATGTAAAAAACACCATTGACCAATATGATTACCAAATAATTGTTCATTCCCGCGATACATTTCTGAGCAGATCCAACTTCTCGAGAACGAGATACACTGATCAGATCTCGCTCTCTAAGAGGAAACGATTGCAGGAGTAAGATTGCAGGCGGCTCGGCCGGAAGCGTGTCTACACTTCGCGTGACTTGTCCAAACCGAATCTCGAGGCTGAGATTCACTCTTGACGGGTGTAACATCCATCCATCCCGGGACCCAGCACTAGAAAACGTGTCTCCCACTGAACTGAAACGAAAAGTACAAGAGGAAGGAAAAAGGGGGGAAAAAGAAGTGACGGATAGTCAAAGCGAGAGACAAAGAACAAAGTAGAAGGGAAACGCTCGAGGCTCTTGATTAGAAGCGATCGTTTTCCGGTTTTCCGTTCGCGAGCCACAGCTGCCTGGCTGCCCCTGCCTTTTCCTTCCTGCTCGCTCTTTCGCCGCGCTGCTGACTCGCCTCGCGAGAGGGAAAGTATTTTATACCACGCTTGGCTTGGCAAGAGAAAGGGGACACGGTCCGCTCCTAATTTCTGTTTTAACTCGGTGAACCTATATATCGTGGCCGAGAGCGTGTAACTCGACGCCAGCTACACTTCCAGGCTATGTACGCTATATTGGTATGTGTATCCATACGTGTGCAAGTATTCTTAAGAATACGTTAGGCATTGGTAGACGGTGGTCCAGCGTGTACAACGGCATTATTATCGTTCATATCGTCTCGTAATCCCTTCAACTGTGAGATACGCAGGAGGCAAAAGAAAGAGAAGAAAGGAAGGCTCGCGCGAGCGTGTGTTGGACGGAGAGGCTGTCTCACTGGCGGTGAGACGAGGATGCAGCCTCTTGGCTAAAAGTGAAATCGTCTGTAGAACGTACTTGTATCATAGCCGTTATTATATGTTATGCCAGGCTTCGGAGGAGAACTTGAAACCGCGATTACAGCAGCTGCACACCGGAACAACCGCGCAGTGCGCGCGTGCGCGACCGGATACCACGGCTAGACATCCGACCACGACGAAGAACTCGCTGAGACATTGGCTAGGAGCTGTTGGATTGTACATTCGATGAAACTGCACGTGAAAATGGTAATTATTTGTCCATGAACGGGACTGATTCCATAGGGAAATCCGCATATTGTTTCCAGCAGGTTGGCGGGTAAACACGAGGCGCGGGTACACTTGCGTTAATTACGAAAGTGAAAGTGTGGGTCAGTCACGATACACGCTGGTGGTACATTTATACATATGAAATAAAAAGAAATCTCTGAGCTTCTTCTTTCTGTTCCTTTTACGTAATTGATCTTGATATTGTTCCTGCGCTCCTTGATTATCCACGCACCGAGACCGAGTACACATTGTACGCGTGTTTTATGCTCTGCGTCTACCACTAGTCCTGAAAGCAATTTTCATGTAACATTTCACGTAACGTTAATTCTAATAAATTGCAGACAATTTTTGACATTTCCAACCAATTACTCTTTAACGATATTTTACACCAGAAAATATGTATGCGTTAAAAGATGTTAAATTAAAATAGAATTAAATACTTACGCAAAGATACGAAGAGTTATTTGTCCAACAGAAATAGCACGAACCATTTTGACAGGTTAAAAATTAGTTTAATATTTTGCTAATACACAGTTTAATACTGCGAGTTTCTTAAACCTAGATGTTTTACTTTTATTGATGTACCAACATCAAGGTGAAAAGAAATACTATTTTAGTTGGTTACAAAAAATTGTTCCGCCATGTTGATCACGCTAGTCTGTGACAAACGTATTTTGCAAGGTTTCTAGATATCGATGTAAACTAATCATTTCTTTTTTCTTATTACTACCATTACACTTCTCCATTCCACACAAACGTTACTCGAATTCTCGAAAATCGAAGACTAGTGATTTCATGAGAGATTTCACTTTCCTGATGGTTAGTGATCCACTAATATTTATTTTGATGATTCATCGAATTTTCTTTTTCTTCGACTTTTTTCTTCGAATTACGAAAAATTATCCAATTCGTGACCAAAATTCAAGGATCCTAGTATTACAGAACACCACGCAATTAATTTTTGTGACCGATCTTTTTTATACGCACAGATCTTATCTTTTAAGGGTAGCAGCATCTGAAGATTTGAAATAAAAAAGAAAAATTATAACAAATTACTGTAAAAATTGCTGCAATTAATGATTTCATTTAGATCGAATTATATAACAATCAGGACGAATCATATCACGTCCATTTTGTTATAATTAACTAGTATCGAAGTATAGGAATACATGTATCGATAAATATCGATTAACTAACCTTTTCATATTTTCCTAACTTCGTAAAGATATTAATTGAAAAATTTAATTATATGCTAAGGTTTTGTTAAAGTAACGAATTTGCGAAAGATTTAAGAATTCTTACGATAATTAAATATTTTCGTGTTACCGTTATAAAGATGAAACTATGTAAATACGTATGTGTTTTGTTTACTACGAAATAAAATAAATACGTATCTTGCTACAAATAACAGATACGTAATATTCATAAATAATTTTCTAACTACTTTATACAAGAAAATACTGTTACCTATTCGACACATACAGCATGTTAAAACTTTTATAGTTTTATCTACTTAATCAAACAATAAAATCAACTAATTATGTCGAATGATATTTCCGTACAGAGTCGAAACACAGATGGCGGTATTGGAAAAACGTATGTTTAGTATAGGAAGACAATAAATATAAAACATAAAAAGATTAGCAATTGTTGCGTAACCATCCGGTTAGACAGTGCATTGCAAGCAAAACAAGAGAACACCTTTCACAATCGCAACGAAGATCGTGACTACTCGAAGTGTCCGTGTGAACTCTGTCCAAAAACCTTGACCAATCCAGATCTCCGATCGAATCTCGATTCGATTCTAGAACGTTTCATTAAGTGAGTACCACGATAACTGATGGCGCGATAATCAAATCATTTATCCGACAATACTGTTTCCAAATCCGAATTGTAACGAGCTTATCAGAAGAATTAATCCCTTATTCTGGTTTATCATCTTGATCGATTCTTCTGTTTGACGTGTACTTCAGATGTATACTAGCTGCATTATGATATTTATAAAAATAGTATACATATATTTGTAATTTTTATTTATAGCTACGGATTTAATTCTCAGGAATAATCTTAATGTAAAATTAATAGAATGCAGAAGAAAATGAATGTTTCTTCTTTATCACTTCTATCGATGAATCATAAATCAAATTATAACAGGCGTCATCCGTTCTTGAATTAGGAAAATACGCGGTTACTCATTACTAATACACGTAATAATATTAAATGAATTTAAAAATGTACTAATTTCTAATTTCTAATTACAATGTATCGTATGTAGCTATAAAATATTGTCTTTTGATTGGAATAAAATAAAAGGTAAAAAATAAAATAAAATAAAAATAACGATAAGAATCTAATATGATAAATCAATATGGCATTAACAATTAACTAAAATTTTAATTGAGTAATTTTTTTTTTTACTTAGTTAAACTCTAGTTATCTAAATATTTTATTGAAATTAAATAATAATCTATATATATATATATAGACATTATAGGTGAATGAAAAAGCTAACGAATTAGATATCGAATGCAAGTACTATAATTATATAGCATAAATTATAATTATGTAACAATAAAGATTATGACAGCCGAGATAATTTACGCGCGTGTCAATGTTACCAGAAAAGAATACACATATTTCCATATTTGTTTTGATAAGATTTATTCGTCGCAGAATTTTTAATCAGTCATTTCTAGCTGATACATTAACCGATAACTCTAAAAGACTTTTATTTCAATAAATTCCATGATAATTCTAAATCAATTTTTGACTCTATTAGATATAGTTAAAACAATATCTATCTTTAAATCGTGTAGTACATAGTACTTTTAAACCGTTAATCAATCGCACTAGTCGATTGATACTTAAATGCTTGCAAATGAAACGACAAAGGTGGAATAAAGCTGAATGCCTTTTGATTTGACTTTGTATATTTCATTCGTTAATAATAATTAATTAACAATAATAATAGTTGACATATAATACAATAAGAGTAATAATTAATAAGAAACTAATTATCTTTCCTTTCTGTGACAGCTGCCTCAATGCCCTAAAGATCCTAGCAGTCCTACAGAGTTTATTTTTCTCTTTTTTTTGTTTTTTTTTTTTTTTTTTTTTTTTTTTTTTAACATTTGAAATGAACAAAAAGAATTCGAGAGAGATAGTAAAACATTTTGTGCTTATACCATTATACATATGTTGGACACGTACGTCACCTTCAATGCTACTGATTACATTCCCTCATATTTTTTTTATATTTTTTTTACCTTTTTACTCATATGTTAAATTGCAATTATTATTTAAATAGTTTATAGATATATATAAATGTCTCAACATTTAAGCATTTACACAAAACGACTACTTTTGTTTTTTATATATTTCATATAAATAATGTAAGTAATATTTCTGTTTAGTATTAGAAAACCACATAAAACGTTGCTTGCCATAACTATGGACGTCAGATTCATTCATAAAAATGATTGCAAAAATTTGATAGCTAAACCTTCCACTAACTCATACTTATATCTATATTTATATATATATATGATTTATATAAAAATGACCTCAAATTTTTATCTATATTAAACGTGCAAATTGTAGGTATGTACTCACTGAAAAGATCAATAAACACTTCTCTAATATTATGGAAGTTAATGTATAATATGAGAAAAGCTGCTTCTAAAAGCATATATAAATATTCCTATGCAAACATTTCAACGTGTCATGCAGTAGAATAACAACTACGGCAGAACTGTAGTTATTTTCTAACGACAATTTCAAAATTTGATTATAATTTATATATTCTATGTTTTAATTTTATTTATTAGCAATTGTATTACCTTGCAATTGAAATAATTTGCACGTTTTCAATCTATTAATCAGGACAAAAAAAATGTAAATAATTTAGCTTTTATCAGTGATACCAAATATTAGTAATACTCCACCAAGATCTAATTGATATAAAAGCAAAAATAGTATTACGTTTTTTTACTTTTAAGCTAATCAAAATAAATGTTACAAAATATATAATCAGGAAATTGTTATGATTCAAAAAATACCTACTTTCAAATTATATCATGACATTCTATATGCAAAATCATTCAGATGTGGTTTCTCACTACAAATGTCAAGTAGTTTGTTGTTGTTATCATAATGCATCCGTATTAATTTAAAGATCAACTTCAACATAATCATAAATATATGATGATGGCGAATTAGTAACGTCTAAGACTTCAGTCGGTGTCAGTTGAATGTTTGGATTGCGCCATGCATTGGTATCAGTCCCACCGATATCAAGACCAAGTCGTAAATTAGCCGGAGTATTACCAATAACAAAATGGTCTTCGGTCAAGGGTAAAGCATCTTTTAACAAAATCCTGCAAGACATAACAATCAAAAACATTGTACATTACTTGTACAACATGACTGCAATTAAAAAATGTATCAAACAATTATAGCCTAAAACATAAAGAAATATGGTTTGTATAATTTTCTACCAAATGCTTTTATCTGCGACAATGTGAACTTTAGGTACAGGAAATCCGTTAAATTGGGACGCAACCGGTAACGTATATGCTCCCATATTTTCAAAAATGATCCAATCACCAAGATCCATTTCGTGTAACAAAACATTTTCCACAACTTGATCCAAACCGTCACAAGTTGGTCCCCAGATGCTTGAGGGAATCATTTTTCCACAACCTTTCTGTTAATGGAAAAATATCAAATATTAAAAACAAATTATCCTTCCACAAACTTCCATTAATATTAGAATATTTAGCGTCAAAAACTTGGAATAACTTAATATTCAGTAATCTACAAGCTATTTCCAAATATTGTAATCATCGTTAACAATTACTTTTAGAGGTAATGGAGTCACGTGTTGATGATCGTAAAGTAGACAATTGAAGGAGCCATAAACACCATCATTAATATAGTACATATTGTGCGTAATTATATTCGGTGAATTTTCATCGCCACGAATTGAACGCTTACTATGAATGCTAGTTGCGAGTGTAAATGCTGAAGCAACATAAAAACGACCAGGTTCAGCAATAACGTGAACAGCATCAGCTGAAAGTTATTATAGGTAAATCAAAATTTATAACCATATTGTGAAACTAGATTAGTTTGCACATAATGCAAATTAATATTACTTACTGCTAAAGTACTCGTCGAGAGCTGTATTAACAACATCGGCAATTTTATCAATGCTGGAACCTTTATTACCAGGATAACCACCTCCAATATCTAATAGATATGGCTTGAAACCAAGATCTGTTGCTAAGTCAAATAATATCTTAGAATGGTGTATAGCACGATAGAAGACAGGTGGATCCTGGCAACCAGATCCAACATGAAAACTAATACCGATGACATTAAGTCCCAATACACGCGAAAGACGCAAAAGATTGGGGGCTTCATATATAGGATCACAACCAAATTTCATGCCTAACTGACACTGAGCAACTTCTGCATCGCAACGGATTCTAATAACAACCTAACATGAAGAAATACTAATTTAGATAAATTTATAACTAGATATAAAAACAATAATGAAAAACGAAATATTTTTTATCTTATACCTTGGCATCTGGATGAAACTTTTTAATTTTATGTAACTCGCTTTCATTATCTGCTGTCATAGCATCTACTCCAACAACAGCAGCATGACGAATATGTGATGCTGGCTTAGCTGGATTGGCGAAAATAATTCTCGACGGGTCTACTCCAACACTTAGTACTTTATTAATCTCCGTCTACAAATAACGATGAACAATAAAAATCCCTTAAATTATGTATTTCAAGCGTTTAAATATTAAATTACTTACTTTAGATGCACAATCAAAACCAATACCAAGAGCAGCCAGTACTTCAATTACAATTAAATTATCGTTACATTTTACAGCTGAAATTTCGTAATGACATTAATTAATTTCTAATATGAAACACAAAGTATATAATATTTACTAATTATCTTACCATAATACGGACTGACGCGCGGCATTTTTTCTTTCCATATTTGATGTTTACGAACAATATCTCCAATATCAAGTACATAAAAAGCTTCTTCTTGTAATCCACTTAATGCAATATCTTTGATGACAGTCATAACATTTGACGCACTGTCCAAAACATGAATACGTTCGTCCAAATTTGATACCTTCATATTGACTATTTTGTAAATTTTTAGAAGATACTCTGTAGGCGCTAGGCAGCAAACTAAAATTGAAAGTCATTACATTATAAAATATTCAAAAGAATGGATTATTATTTCATAATAACAATAAAAAAGAAAATGATATATACGAGGCAGCTGTCAATGAGAATTGGGTGAGTCGTGAGGAAGCGGGTTAAGACAAGATCACTATGGGGGTGCTAGCAAAGCCACGGGGGCTCTGCGTTCAGGGCCAACTTCCAGTTGCCGCAGTTATCTACGCACCCACCAATAGACTGGCCTACCAGCCTATTGCAGATAGAACCCTGTAACAAACAAAACATGTACCACAACATTAGTATTTCATATTTTTATTAAAAAAAATTTCTTCAACAAAATAAAGGAATAAAGGAAAGGTATAAATTAATATAAAGAATTTTCTAATTACTGATTCTGATTGCATGGTAAAATATCTTATTATTAATAGAATATTATTTTCTTTATTGTTGTAACCATAAATAATCATTTAAGATCTAAATAAAAATATAACAGCTGTTTTGTAAGAGAAATGTGTATTATATTTGAATAATATATCAATGAGGAAATTAATATTTCTAAACTTCTAAATTATACATACTTCAAAGAAGTTATCCTATCAAATATTAATTTCTTCATTTAGAAATAATACTTTAAAGGAAAAAGAAAAAAAAGAATATCACACATATGAGAATCTAATAAAATACTGAAAAATTTATATCTGCTATAAATTTATATTCCTATAATTGTATTTAATCTCTAATAAATATAAAACTTCTTTTATAATATATGTAATATAAATAATAAAAACTGATGTTAAGATGCTTAGCCAAAATGCTTAGTAAAACACGGTTATGTTCTGGATTGACATTTAATGTATAAAAAAATAATATATGTATGATTAACATAAGCATATATAATTAATTCACTTTCTACAATAACACATGTCAAACATTTTCTTATAATCCCATATTTATCTTATCAAATTTTATCAGTAATAATTAAATAAATTCCTTAGCAGACTTTAAAGATATCAGACAAAATTTTATATGAAAATAAGATGTTCTCATAAATTCTATATTAATTTCTGTTAAAGCTTTAATAAATATATTAAACTTTCACTGAATAACTTTCTTATAAAACTTAATATATTTTAAATGAAGTACACACAAACAAAACAAATTATTCAAGAAAACACAGTAACTAAAACAAAGGGATACAAAAATAATTTCTTTCGACAACAAAAAATAAAGGACTTTTGGTAACTCACCTGGCGTTTAAAAGTAATTCTCGTAGCTTTTATAACACGTCACAGCAATAAAATAATACAATTAAAACTCTGAACACACTGGAATCTTTGTAAAACAACTATCTTTGTAATAATTTGTAAGTAACACCAACACAAAGAAAGAAACTGTAAAGCTTATTATGCTCTCTTCTATAATGGCTCAAAATGAGCTCAATCAAAGAAATGCAATGGACAATCAAGAACACAGGATAATACTGAACCTGAAGTAACTATTTGGGCCACTATTTATACGAGAAAGATAAGTACTATCAGGCAGCCTTTGCGTGGTACCAAGTCTACTTCATGGAACAAAGCTTATCTGACGGCCAAGAAATACATGGTTCACAGAGATCCAATTGAGCATGGAGGGGTAATGCATACGCCACTCAGAGATCAAGTCTTCATTGGGGGCATGGAAATACCGTGTTTAATCTATGCTACGCTGTTGAAAATTATAGATTACTATCATTCGTCAAAATCAGTTGATATTTAACTGATACAATCTGTGTAATATACTCATAATTAAAATACAGGTGTGTATTACATTATTATTTACAATCTTTCTAAATAAGCAAAATATTTTAGATTAAAATAAATTATAAAAGAATGCAAAAATTAATATAAGATTCAAATAC